GTTAAAATTTGCCATATAACAATTACTACTACAGCACAATTTGATATATAATCAGCATAATCAAAAACGCCGAAATCGATACAGAATAAATTGCTTAGAAATAATACTGGCAGCTATGTTTTCAGTTGTTTTCGTACTTGTATAAAGTTTGACGGCCTTTGTGTTTGTATATACAAGTTTTTGTTGCTTTTATGTGCGCGCGCCCGCATGTGCTACTTTATGGATGCATAGTGGCACCTAGACAAGAGCCGGTGCACCTCGAAGAGAATTTTTCAAAATTCGAATATTTTTTTTAAATTTTATCTTTTTTGATGAAATCGCATCATTTTGAATAGTTTCATTCTTTTAGAAATGTAGTTTTCGCAACAGTTTTTCATTCATTGCCTTGTAATACTGGACAGCTGGCTGTTGAATATATGAAATGAAATATTTATTGCTTATTTCACTGTTTTAAAGATACTGAAAAGTTTAGCATGATTTTTTTTTGCAACGGGAAGTTGGTTAATTTATTTATTAGTATAATTAATACTTATATTAAGACATATTGATTATTTTATTGTAATTTTCTAATATGTGATACATTCTGACTGAGTTTTTTTGGTACGCATTTTAAATCTAATGTTTGGTTTTTCATTTAGGCACTTTTACGGCACATTGTAAAAGCCAGACGAAGGCTGGCCGTGTAACGGTTAGTTTAGAATAAGAAAAAGTGAGTTTTTCTGTTGTATGATAAGAATTATGTTCTTTTCGAACTTTTTACAGAGAATACTACTCATTTAAAATAAGAAAAAGTGAGTTTCTCTGTTGTATGATAAGAATTATGTTCTTTTCGAACTTTTTACAGGGAATACTACTCATTTAGAATAAGAGAAAGTGAGTTTCTCTGTTGTATGTTAAGAATTATGTTCTTTTCGAACTTTTTGCAGGGAACACTACTCATTTAGAATTAAAAAAAGTGAGTTTCTCTGTTGTATGATAAGAATTATGTTCTTTGCGAACGTTTTGCAGGAAATACGACTTATTTTAGAAGAATAAACAACCCAAAAAGTAAGGAATGCATTTCAAAACTATTATTTATCTATAAATGAGCTGATATTTATATTTTGTTACCTTCTTTATTCCCCATACAATCCAAGAAAAATATTACAGATTAGATAATTCTGCCCTGTCCTCTTGAGCATCTATAAATTAGGAGATGGATATGTTTTAAATTCGGCATTCTACAGAATGGCTAGGCATTGTTCGGAATGTTCACTGTCCATATGTTGACAACTGTAGACCGCAGAGCGTACAATTTAAAGACCGTTGTTGAATCTGACGATATATAAATAAAAAAAGTGTTATTAAATGGAAAAAAGTAAGTTCCACAGCAATAATATTGAAAAGTTCTAAAAAGAACAGACTTAACCTGTAATGATATAAATGAACTTGAAACAACTAAAGAAATTGGTATTTAATCTTCGGCTGGTATTGCACAAATCACGAGGCTGTATTTTATCCAACAACTTATTTTTTTTACACCTCAAATCGGATGTTCTTTCTCCACTACGTTTATTTCATGCCCTTTCAATGTAGAACTTTTAACATTTTACTTGCTGGCCCACTAACGGCCAAGCGGTAAACTCGTAGAACACTGGTAGTTCGGTCTGAAGTTTTAATCCTTTGCGGCACAGTTTGTCCGGTCTGGACACACCTAAAAATTTCCTTCTGTACGCACAGAAAAATTGAATGAAAAAAGATTTATAAGTTACTATAGGTTACTCTGAACCTTCTTTATTTATAGTAGATGGCAGCTCAACACAAACCAGTCCATATATTTTATCCATGTTTAGTTTTTTAAGACTCTTATTTTTCAAAGAAACCTTCCAGATTTTTTTAGGGTATAAAAGGAATTGTTTGAAAAGAAATTCCTATGTTATTTTTTTGGATGTATGCTAATCACCTTATTCTATATTAGTTTTAAATTTTTACCTTGAAATCTTGCCTAAAATCAAACGGTAAACCCTAGGTGTGCCCAGACGGGGCTCACCGATAATCTAGGACAACTGAGAGTCTGCATTCTTTGTTTCTCCGCATCTCGTCAGTCGGTTCATTGACAACAATGCCCGTTTCAGCACTCTTTTCGAAGCTCTATTCAATCAGTGTGCCACTTTGGGCACACCCGCAGAATTAAAACGATAAATGCTATCACAAAATTTTACTTGTGTACTCCTCTAAGTCTAATTAGACTGCCTACCTTTTTTGTTATCAAAACTGCGACTTTAGAAGGTAGCGTACCGGAAAGGGTTAATCGAACGGGCTTTTTCTTGGTTTTTTCCATGTGTAACGTGTATACGAGCTAGTTTTCCTTATCAAGTTCTCTACGAAGGCGTCCCTCCCCTTAGGCAGATAGCCTTCGAGACTTTGCCGTAATCAAATAAACCAAACCGTTTTACTTGCTAGAAAATATTTATTGGAAACTTGGTGCGCAAAAAAACTTAATGGAAAAATATGCGTATTGACTTCTTGAATAATTCATTTCGTTTTAAAATTAGTACAGAAATCTCCGTGGCCTTAACAAACGCATTACTTCGTAGATTTAAAAAAAAATCTGATTTACAAATTTAGATTCTAGTTTAAAAAGGCCAAAAGATTTTGAAACTAAATAACTGCAGGTATAATATTTTAAGAATAAATCTGATGAAATTAAAGATACAGACGTTACAATCATATTACTATTATTATTATCTTTATAAGGGCGCAAGCCAGCCGTACGATCAAAAAATGGGACTGGCCAGAAAAAACAAATTCCAAAATTTGAGTCTCAGTGCCGAATTCCAATTCTATCTTTGTTCGTATTAGTTATAACTTTCATTATTGTCTATAATGCCTAAAACTAATCGGCAATGTATGAAACGATTCATATTTCACACATTTCCTAGGCATTCTGTAGAATGTCAAATGACAAACCGGCAAAGTAGGAAACACATTTTCGGTTCGTTTCGAAGAACCAAACTACTTACCAGAAGTTAATAAATGATGTAAAAGGACAAATAAACTACTAATTGCAAAATGACTACTGGAATTGTGTTACCGTAGCTTGCAAATAAAAACATTAACTATTAAGAATAGGTATATATAAGAATATTACCAACCAATCATAAAAGAACACTACCAACCAATCATGAAAGAACACTACCTACCAATCATAAAACACTATCTATCATGAACACTACCTACCTATCTACCTACTAAGGAAGAATTACGGGACTATTGACTGCTGAATCGCTAAGATGTGATGTTTGTGGGAAACAAAATTACATTCATATATCCTATTAAAGAAACCGACAATACTGTACAATATTACGTCACGGACGCTGAGTTATTTCCCGTACTTCACGAAAACTCATTTGAGTACTGGACACGGACGACGTGTCAATGTTGAAAGAACATTCAACCAAATGCAAAAACGTTACTGACATTGAACTGTACCACCACCTTTGTAAGCCCTGCCAGAAAAAAACAAAAATGTGTTAAAAAGGGGATTGCTGTGAAACTTATGATTGTTTCTCTTACGCGTTTAAAGTGAAGTCTTGTGTGTCACATGCCCTTATGTATTTCCGTATCTGAGACTCCACAAGTAACAGTGGCTAGCTATTTGTCAAATTTTATTTGTGCTGTCATATGTAGATTTCAATAATCCTTTTAGTTAATTTTTAGGAAGTTTAGACTTAAATGAGAACAAGTAATATAAAAAAATTGGTCAATTTCTACTGACCTATGTAGCAATAAAGAAAAAAAATTATTTTAGTTACTTTTTATTAACAATATTAACATTTTTTCGTTTCTAATTTATGAAGCTGGTGGTGGTCTATAATTTATCATTCTATTCATATCTTGTAATGCTTCATTATTGCAAGGAACCTTTCCAGTGAGTTTCGAGAAGTCCAGTTCCTCAACTAATATTCCATCTTATGATTTCACACGACTCGAAACAACCTATGCTTGACCTGCTACGAAGAATGTTCGTACTGCACAACCTACAGTGGTATTTACGTATATATATTACTCGTATTTATTCTAATAAGCAAGGGGCATTTTAAAGTGTTATATTTTAAACATATAACATTATCACGTTAACATAGAAATATGGGAAGAATTTTCGATCCATAATGAGACACTGCATCCACTTCGTCCAACTCTATAAAACTATAATTCTTTAATTCCATGCACTTCAAAAATCTTTAGAACTCTTAGTTGTCTGCCACTTATTTTTGTTAAATATTACATTCCCATTAATCACAGTCATGTGCTATTATTTATACGTTGTTATAAAATAAATTTTTACAGCACGTGAGAATTCTTAATAAACGGTGCGCGTGATTTTAAAATCTTATAAAAGGAGGAAAACATCTCAGTTTGTAGTAGTTGCTTAGTTTGTTGTTGTTTAGAAAACTGCTCTTGTTGATTGTAGCGAATTCGCGGATTAGCGTTCTTTAGCTGTTTTGAATTACGTTCTATTGGACATTTGAGCAGTTAAAAGATAACTACTGTGAGATACTGTAATACTGCATGATAATTTGAGAAAATTGAAGCATTTTTGTTGTGATAATAATAAATTTTTGTTCATTTTTCATCGGACTTGTGCATTCATTTCATAACGAACCCGTACGCACGCAACAATATATTTAAAATAAAAACAGCATAGCTTTAGTTCGGATAAACGGGAATCCATAAGTAGGAATTGACTTGAATATGTGAAAAAAACTGTATTAACATCCAGTGTCATCCACTACAAATTAAAAAAAATGTATTTGAACTTGAGTGGATGAATAAAATGTATTTTATTAACGATTGAAAATTTGAATGAGGTATAGGGAGAGTGTGAGCTAATAGTAGGAATTTAAAAAATAATATTAAGCAACAGATCGTTAAACAAATAGCTCAATAGTTTTAACCGAAAAGCAAAAGGTGCGAATGATCAATAAAGAGATGTAAATAAAGAGACGCACACACATGAATCCTTTTGATTTTTCATCTTGCAATTCATCTTTGAGATACATATCAATGATATTAAAAATACCGAAGAGTATCAATATGACGATAACGGATAACACAAACATCTCTGACACAATGACCCTAAGCACACACTAAACCTATACTAGTGAAAGGTACTGGAAGTATAGTTAATAATAATAATATACTTAAAATAAATAAATTAAATTGTTCGTGGCGCTTTCGAAAAGCGTGGAAATCGAGATCGCTTAATAGAAGGGAAGGCCCATGTCTTTGAATAGGTCGGGGAATCCGCTGCTGCCACCGTAGCTGGGACCGGAACCCATGGAACCCATGAGTTTCTTCATAGCGGCTTCGGCTTCAGCTCCATGCATTTGTCGGTTGCTGACAACGTGGGTCTCGGTCACGTGGGTTGTGCCTCTGCTGTGGGGATCCCGGATGGTGTATTTCATTTCCCGTCCATGGGTCTGGGATTTGCTTTCGGCGTGTTGCTGGAAGGAAGAATGTTGTTGTGGGTAGTTGCTGCTGGTGCTGTGAGCTGGTTGTTGTTGGGCTTGGTATCCACTGCGTTTCAGACTGCCATAGTGGGATGGACCTGAAGATAAAATTAAAATGCTAATTAATAATCTTCTACTGACAAGACAACCTTCTCTTCTTTGATTACGGTTTTCCAGAAACCCATATATTTTCTGAAAGCTTATATCACAAGTAAAAATACTGTGACGTCTTAGGGGCAGAGGGACAATCGTTTAGGAGCTATGAAACCAACAAAGTATCATTGGAGTGTGTATAGATGGACATATTTCTGTAATGGCGTCTTTATTTCTTGTATGCTCATGCATTTTCTGCTTCCGAAGTACCTGATGGCAAAGTCCTACAAAAAGAACTGGTACCTGAAGGATTAACGGGAAAGATCCAGCCTCTAGATATTTCATTTTTTCAGACGCTACAGATCTTTTATTCGTTACATAACGGGCACAATCATTATCGAGACGCAGAAGTACATTTGGCATCGCGATAATTTTATGAACCTGCAGTCCATTTCGCTATATCAATTCACCACTCCTCGTTTTAAGAACTTGATTAAGTATGCTTTTTATAAGGGGACACTTATACGACGAAGCTGGAATGTGGATTGCGCCAATGGATTACTGCTTCGATTTATTGATAAATAATGAGTGTGCAAAGTGCGAGGCTATCACTTTTGTAAATTGTGACCACTGCGAACTGTCTTTCTGCTGCGTCCCGTCGTCTGTTCTGGGGCGTTCATGTAGTACCCAGCCGTCCCCATACGATCTTGGGGTGCTTTAGATAAAGGGGGACACGGTGCTATACCAATTAACCGCCATGTTAGAGGGGTGGTGCTCGCTAACCGTCACTAAACTAAACCGTCTTTCTGCCTGTCTCACTGTTTATTTGATGAATTACACATTGATTGTATCTTGTAATAGATTTTGTTTGAAGTCAACAACAAGTCGCATTTTCAACAAGCCAACGTATAATGTTTCTTCCTTTATATTGAGATCCTTACCTTCTTCCCATATTATTAGTTCATATAACACGTGAAACGAGCATTTTAGCGACTTTTAGTGTCATGTTTCCATTACTTTTCTGATACTTTGTTGGCCTTATAGCTCCTAAACGCTTGTCCATCTGCCCTTAAGATTTCACAGTTTTTCTACTTGTGACCATAAGCTTTTAGAAAATATATGGTTTTCCGGGAAACTAGATCAAAAGAGAGAAGGTTTACTTGTGATGTCAGCCCAAAATAAGCTATTTCCTTACAACTTGTAAAGTGCTAAACTTAAATGGGAACTGCTTTTCCTCGCACCTAATAACTGACGCTAAATGGTTACGTATTGCTTTTGTTACTTTGGCGAGTTATTACTTTGGCTACATTTTAACTATTAATACGCAAGATAACACTCAAAGTAAAAAACTAACGCTAACAAGTTGAGCTCAGAAAAGCGCAACTTGTGGGTAACACAACTAAAAATAGGAATATGTGAACAATATAGCTTTGGTTAGAGTAGATTGAAGGGTGCCCCTTGTATTATTGCGAAGTTGTGTTTTCATTTATCGCCAAGATGTTTCATTAATGGTAAGCTGAGTAGTTGAATGTTATGGAAACACTGTTATGACGTAATCGGTTGCATGATTGCGGTAAATTATGAATTACGGGAAAAGATTTGTAAGGGCGCTTGTGTTGTGTATTGGTTAGGAAGTGCATTGTTTACTTTGTGGTAAGATTAATTTGAAGTTTATGTACGATTTGGAACGAAAGGGGAAAAGAGCGTTAATTGAGTGGCGTGTAAATGAAGGTTTACTTAGAAGCCATTATAAGTGTCCTGTTTGTAAGAAACAAATTGCGCATGGTCGAACGTCGGAGGTTACCGGCACTGAGGGTATTTTTAACTCTTATTTTTGTGAATTTATGTAGCCTCGTCGGTATGCAGATTCTAGTTCAGATAATTTTAGGAACATCTTGGATGCTGTTAAGGAATTTTGTTTGACTGAAGAAAGGGAAATTTATAATAAGGTAAGTGGATATTTCCTTTGTGTAGTGCTAAGATGAATCTCCTTTTTTATGTTATTTGATTGCTTGATTTAAAATGTAGTTTATTCAGATTATACATTTTTTGTTGGCTGCTCCTTTGAATTTTTGAAATATAGAAATAGTGAATATAGATCGATCTGTACATGGACAAAATCAATGAAGTGCGCAATACCAAATTTTTGCAATTCTCTGATGTTTTTCTAAGTGAAAATAGGTCTATGTGTACATGGATACCGAAATTGTGCAATTCTTTGACTTGTTATTTTGTAATTAAGACACAATAACACGCCGAATAAATACTGATTCAGAAGTCAAACAACAAAAATTTTTGTTGTTTGACTTCTGAATCAGTTGTTATTTTGTCTTTGTAGTAGCTAATTTGGGGGCAAAAATCGCCACTACGCAAAGACAAAATAACAACTCAAAGAATTGCACAAACTCTGCATCCATGCACCGCCAAAAATTTCCAATTTTCGCCAAGGGGCACCCGTAAATATATTTTTACCATAGCATTTTACTAAAAGACAACAGATACAGGTAGAAGCTAGGTCAGCTTCTACTTGTACCTGTTACAGATCTGGTACTGCATTGCTTCCTGATACTACAGGTAATTGAGGTATTGCTGAGCCTAGCTAACTGCTAAGCTTTCCACTCTAATTCTGAGATAGAACAAGTGCATGTCCAGTACTATTCTTTTTAGATTCGAATTGATTTATGTAGCAACGCTTAAGTTCCACCGCAAGTTGTCTGTGTTATTGTAAAGCAAGAAGTACGCGTCTTTCTGATCGTAACTGAAAATAATAAAGGGATATTTTCACCCTTCTTTTGTGCTGGGATTATTTCACGCCTCTGTGAGAAGCCACCAGGTTCATTAGTAGGAACCAGTTTAGTTTATGTGGCCAAAGAGAGTTAGATCCTGTATGTTTAAACCGCTATTCACGTTAAGAAACTAAAATACTTTAATACTTTTATAACTGTTATCAGGCAACTCGGTAAAAACCTAAAAATTACTTTTCATCATCAAAATGAAAATGCTAACTTTAAACGTGACGTCAAGTGAAAAACGCGAAGAAAAGTGCAGGTTTTGATAAATTCATAAATAGCATTACGAATATAAGATTATTTCTGTCACCATTTATGAAACCAAATGCTAATCTAGAAAGTATTATACGCTTCCATAAAATCCGTGTGACGAAAAGATAAAATTAAAAATTTACGTTCAACAACAGTATTAAAACAGTTAAACTAAACTCAGTGGCACAACAGTCCTAGTGGGCCTGCAGTGCTCAGAAATCTGCTTTCTTGAGCGTGCCCCGGGGTACGTGAGCATATGCACTGAACAGGTGATCAGCTTGTCGCAGGACCCCCAGTGTTTAGTCCCCCAAGCGAACTTGGTACTCATTTTATCAACCCACTCAAGGAAGGAAAAGCTGAGTCGACCTTGCGTGGGGATTGAACCCCAGACCTGTGGTGCTGCTGCGCAACGCGCTGGCCACTGCGCCACCGGGCTTTGATGAAAACAGTTAGGTCGTATAAAAGTTTTGTCTCTGAAAAATCCCATATGTAAAGATAATTAAACAGTTATCAATCTATGAAGCACAGGGAATTGCAGGTTGAGGAGTTTTCAATATCTATTGAAATTCAAGCGTTTGCAGTAATTACTTTTATTTTTATAGATGGATTATCACTTTACGAGCATTGTAAAAAATATGACTTTTCCAGAGAAGAAAAGGCAGTATATTTGTCTATAACTGAATGTTTTATCCACCAACCATGGCAAAGAAACTGGTTTCTCTTAATTTCGTTTCAACCATACTTGGCCAAGAAACCGTTGAAATACACAGGATGCATTTTAGACCATAACTATTACAATTTTAAAGTTTATTTCTTTGCAGAGACTGCTAGCGCAAATTATATGCAAACTGGGGTTTGATGCTATCATGTCTTATGTTTGCGATTATGGGGAACTATGGATTTTATCGGATAGCCACAATGCACTACAACGTCTTAGTCAAACAATGAAATCAGCGTACCTATTCTGCTCAAACTAAGGAAGATCTTTCAGACCCAAGACGTCCACCTCCAGTGGAACCCACCACATGCTAACATTGGTGGTAATAAGGCCGCTGATAGACTGGCCAAAGAGTGTAGTGAGAATGAAGCGGTCACTGGCTCTTCGGTCACTTATCAAGAACTATACTCAAATGAAAGATCTAAACTCTGTTTGTTAAAGATTTATCCTAAGTTTATAGCAGTTATTTTTAAGTTTGTTACACTTTCCTATCTCTCCTAATTTCAGCTTACAATTCCTTACCAGAATGTGGTATTAAAGTAGAAGTTCCACTGACTTCGATGGACAGAATTCAATTTTCTGAATAGCGCGCGTTTGCCTTTTTGACCACGTCTCTCAAAGCTGTTAATACTCTCGGCCGTATAACGTGCTTTGATAGCTTCGCTAGATAATTCGATATTTAGGGGCAAACTAGTTTAGAAATTGTGTTAACTTCGGCTAAATCTCTATAGTCAGTCATTAGTTAAGTTCTTATTTCTTACAATTGTTTTTAAGCCTGAGTGGATGTTTTATTGTACGTCCTGAGAAAGACGCCATCTGTGATTCTGTATTTTGAGCAATTTAATATTACGGGCCAACTAGTTAGAAACTGTCTTAGCTTCGGCTGAATCTCTTTAGTTAGTCATTAGTTAAGTTCTTATTTCTTATATTTTTTTAGTTTAACCCCAAGTGGTGGATTTGTTGTTCGCAAAGAAAGAAGAGTACAAATTTTGTTGAGAAAGGGACAGTCTGTACAAATTTAGTTTCAGAAATAAAGAGAAATTAACCCTTCTTGAGTTTTACGTTTCTGTTTCTGGACATAAGCTATTATTTTCTTAGTAGTTTATAGGTTCCTCTACACTTAGTTAATAGATAAAAAGGGGGATCCTTATAACGGGATCACGTTCTGAGCTGCAATCGGACTTCCTAAGGGAGATTTAACAACCGATCCGCTTATTATTATAGTTTTTTTTTTTTTTTTTTTGGT